GGCTCCAATACAGTAAAGTCAACTGCAAGGATCTGATTTGGTCGGGATGCAAGCAAATGGCCCATGTAAGCGTTAGGATAGATTTGAACATCTTTAGCTAGTTGGCATCGCTCACACTCCTGGCACCACTGTTGGATGTCATGGTACATCCCCGGCCAGTAACACCGCTGAGAAACCAGGTCTATGGTTCTCTTTACACCCTGGTGTCCGTGCTCCTGGTGCAACTGATGCAAAACCTGACCCTGCAGTGACTTGGGCAACAGCACCTACAGCATCTCTTCTCCCCTAGGATGAGAGACCTTGCGATATAACACACCACCCTGCTACACTAACCTACGCCATTGCCTGACCAATCCGAGGACTTCCCTCAAGGTTTGGCCACATTCAGTTGACAGTTGACATGACAGTGTTGGTCTCCAAAGATCCTCTCCATTAATCTCTGAAATGTAATGGGGCATTACACAACCCAAGGGGCATCCTATTCCACTCAAACAACCCGAAAGGAGTGCAGAATGCAGTCTTCATTTTGTCTTTTTCTGTAACAGGGACTTGGTTATAAACTGCGGCAAGGTCCAAATTGGAAAACCAGCGGGCACCGGATAAAGCGTCGAGTGACTCGTCAATACATGGCAGGGGGAAAGCATCCTTGCAGGTCTTACTGTTTAAAGCCCGGTAGTCCACACACAAGCAAAGGCTTCCATCTTTTTTTCTTACCAACACAATGTGTGAAGCAAAGGGGCTACTGCTTTCCCTAATTACCTGGGCCTCAAGAAGTTGTCGAATGTGAGCTTTTACGGCCTCATATTCTGAGGGGGGGATACGCCTATACCTCTGCCGCACCGGGGTGTCTTCCACTAGGGGAATATCATGAGAAATCAGGTTAGTACAGCCTATATCCCCGTCGTGATCGGAAAAGACGCCACTATACTTGTATAGTAATGACCTCACATGACCTTGCTCCTGTGCAGTAAGAGTGGATAAGTCAATAGCAGCAATCTTATCTTGCACTGGACTAACTACAGTCTGTGAGGATACGGTAGCTGCCATACCCTCCTCTTGGAGACCCTGTGGGGAGCTAACCAGATGAGCATAGCTCAGGGTGCCGATCATAGTACGAGGAGACAGTACTACATCCTGCACACCAACGTTAACAATTGGGATATAAACTGTGCCTCTGTTAACACAAAGAAGACCAGGGGATGCCAACAAGCCGGCAGGTAAACCACAACTGAGCGGCTCAAACAGAGCCTCTCCTGCCAGATGTTGTGAACATGTAGCTGCCACAATTTTCATGGTACCGCTGGGGACGCGGCAAACTCTACCAACCTTGACCTTTACCCGACTTGAGCGTTCTGGGGGGGCCTTAGCCTGGATCTGATGGCACTGCTGGAGAGCTTGTTGTATTAAAATAGGGGCCTGAGCAGGGCAGTTAAAAAGGGAAGAACCATGTTGTGCGAACAACTCGTGATAACATTCCCTAATAACATTAATTCCTAAAACCCCAGGTGCTGACATTGTACCCTGTGGGGGATCCCTTACAACCAGCACACCTCGCCGGGTAATCTCTTTACCACACAGATGCACATCTAATTCAAAATAGCCTATGTAAGTTATGGCTAGCCCATTAGCAGCACTTAACTTCAACCAGTTGCACGACCAAAGTCCATCCAGGCCGCATAACTCGAAATGCTCTCTGAAAAAGCTCTCAGTTATTGTGGACACCATGGACCCGGTGTCCACCAAACAAGGCACCCATACTCCACCCATTAATACCTTCATGTAGGGGCATGTATGGTGTCTGGAAACATATTTTTTGTTCTTTGAGGATCTTCTGTCACGGGTGTGGAACGGACTCAGGCGCAGACGGAGGTAGCACGGTTCAACGACACTTTATTAATCACACTGGTGCGCTATATACAC